CTTTTTAATTTTATTTACAATCACACGACACAGAGAGGGGGGCCAGTTTTATATATAGGCAAGGGGGGACAGGACGGAAGTTGTAAAAATAACCATATTTTTTTAAAGGATTTTTGGGGTAAAAGTGGAAAAACCCCGGTTGAGGAATTCCAAAAAAATCCAAACTGGGGTCATCAAATGGCTTAGACCTGCATCAGGGAACATTTTATTTTTTTTCCCCCACAAACCTTATACCCAAGGACGGTTTCCAAGAGGGAAGAAGTGGTGTAAGAAAAGCTGGAGTGGAAATAGCAGCAGTAGGAAATAAAGGGGAGTGGTTTGTGTCACAAAGGGTTTGAAAAGAGTGAAAGATGAAGGGAGGGAAAAGTAATGGTAGAAGCAATATTTAAATTTGGGGTGGTAGATGCAGTTTGTAATAATAGTAGAATTTGGGGGGGGAGTCTTTAAAAAAGGACACCCCTGGAGAGCTTAATGGCAACTCCAAAAGGGGGAGGGCAAATGGGGAAAAAAAATTGACCAAAAACCCCACCCAGGCAAAAAAAAGAAGAAAGAAAAAAAGGAAAGGAAAAAGAGGTAGAGGGGGAGGGGGAAGAAAAAATAGGTCCAATCAGGGAGAGTGTTTAAGTTTGGAAAATTTTAAAAATATAATTAGAAAGGTTTGAACTAAACAAAGGGGAAAATCAACCCCCCACGAAGAATTTTAAGGTTTGAATAAATGAAAAGGGGCCCCCTAAGGTTAAAGTATTTAAAAATGGGCTGTAAAGGGGACAAAGTAATAATTTATTAAGGGTTTAAAATGTGAGTGGTTACGTGAAAAAGGAAATAGTTAATGGGGTTTTAAGGTTTGAAAGTTAAGGGGACAAAGGGAGAATAAGATTTTAATTAAAAAAAGTTGTAAAAAGTGAAGGTTAAGTAAAAAGGGACGTTAAGGTTGAAGTATTTTGGGTGGGGGATGTTAAGGTTAGAAAATAGTGAAAATGGGGACTTTTGAAGGGTTTAAAATAGGTAGATGGTGACTGTTAAAATAGGGAAATAGTTTTAGATGGTGACTGGAAGGTTTGAAGTAGTGTGAAAGGTGACCCGGGGAAGGTTAGAAGTATGTAGATGGGATTGTGAAGGTTTGAAGTTGTGTAGATGTGGGAAATGTGAAAAGGGGAAGTAGGTAATTGGACTGTGGGAAAGGTAGAAGTATGTGGGTGGGACTGTGAGGTGAAGTATGTAGGGGGTTACTGGAAAAGGTTTTGAATTTGTGTGGGGGGGTGCTGTGAAAGGGGTTTGGGAAATAGTGGGAGAAGGTACTGTGGAAAGGTTAAAGTAGTGTAGATGGGGACTGTAAAGGTTTGAAATTTGTGTAGATGGGGACCCGTGAAAGGTTTGAAGTAAATGTAATCATGGTGACTGGTGAAGGTTTGAAATAGTGTAGAATTTGGGGACTGTGAAAAGGGTAGAAGTATGTAGATGGGGTTTTGGGGGCTTGTGGTTAGAAGTTTAAATGGAAAAATGGGTGACTGTGAATTTAAAAACAAGAAAATTAAAGGGTGTGTAAGGGTTTAAAATAAATTGGTGTGTTCAATTAAAATTGTGGAAAAAGGGGCTGAAAATTTTAAAAGTATTGAAGGGACGGGAAGGGAATTAAATTCCCCGGGGGCTCAAGGAGAAGTAAATTTGATTACTGGAAAGGGTTGAATATTTTTTCCCCGTGGAATTGGAATTTTGGTAGTTTGGTGCTTATTTGGCTTGGGGTTTTTGATTTACCCCCTTTTTTAATAACTAAATTATTATAATGTCTTTAAAGGCCCCTTTTATTTTTGGTTAAATCTCCAAAACCATCAATAAGAATACTTTTGTTTTTTCTTTTTCCCCTGACCAAAAAAACCTTTATTTTTTGGGTGTTGGGCAAGGGCCAAGCGGCAAAATTTAGTTTGTTTAAATCTGGGAAAAAAAGAGGGTTTTTTCAAGTTTCTCCAATAATTAAAAGAAAAAGAAAAGGGGGGGAATTTTTGATTTAAAACCCAAACAACTTAACGGAGGGTAACCCCCTTAGATTAAATTTAAGGTTTCTTTTTCTTTCCCTGTTGAAATTTTTTGCCCCCCCCCTTTAAAAAACCCAAAACCCCCGGTTCTTTTGTCCTTGGGTTTTTAAAACGGCGCGACTTGTTAATTATTTAATTACCTTTTTTTAAATTTTTTAATGGGGCCCACCCTTCACGGGGATTTCACTTCCCCTTTTAAAAAACTATTGTTTAAAAAAAATTAAACCCCCAACAATTTAAAAGGTTCCACCCCCAATAATACCGAGGGCCCCAAAATTTTGGGGCTCTTACTCCAAGGTTTTTACTTCCCTCTACACACAAAACTGGTTTAACCACTTTTTCTTTCGTAAAAGGGCCAAAACGGGCCCAAAAACTTAATTAAATTGGTACCTTTAATTTGGTACAAATTTACCCTTTTACAAAATACCCTTTACAAAAAATACCTAAACAAAGGTCCTTTAGTTTTGGGCTTGGGTCCTGGTGGGTTTTGAGGTGTTTATGCCCCAAATCAGCTTTCCCTTTTGGTCCCCAAAACTTTTCAAAATTTTAAATTCCTTTCCGAAATTTCTTTTCCCAAAAAAAATTTTTCTTATTCCGCCCCTTTAAAGTCCCTTTTTCCGTCCCTGGCCCAAAAATTCCCTGGTTCTTTAAAAGGGGGCACATTAGGGTTAAAACAGTTCAAAATGGGCAACAGCAGGGGCTTTAATTTATTTAATTCTTTTCAGGGGAAGGCCCCCTTTTTAAAAATTTTCCAAGGGCCCCAAAATTAAAAAAAAAAAAAACAAAAAATTTTTTTTTGAAAAAACAGGTATTTTTCCCGATATAATCACCCAAAGTATAAATTTAATGGGAAAATACAAAATTCTCTTAAATTTAAATTTAAAAATTGGGGAACATCACGATTTTCCCCCCTTTTCCTACCCAATTATGTACTATCGAAAAAAATCCTTTAATTGGGCCAGAAATAATTTTTTTAAGAAAAGTCCAAAAACCCCCCATTTTCCTTTTAAAATATTAAAGTGGTCCTTTTTTACAACCAATTTTACCAAATTTTTAAAAATCCAATTTTTTTAGGGCCCGAAAAAACCGGGGAAAAAATTTGGCCCCCAAAATAAAAAAGTTTCCCTTTTGGGACCTTCCCCGGCCTCCTTGGGTAATTTAAAAGAATTTTTTTTTTTTACTTAAAAAATTGAAGTTTCCCCTTTTGAGGCCCCTCAAGTTTGAAAATTTTTTATTGGTATTTTAAAAAATTTAGGTGGTTCAGGAATTGGGGTGTTGCCCGGGGAAATAAATACCCCCCCTTATTTTTAATAAAAAAATCGGGGAGAGATTCCAATATAAAGTTCCCTTTTTTTTAAAAACCCCTGTTTTATTTAAATTTCCCCCTTTTTTTTATGTTTTAATTTTTTCAAGAGAAAGGAAAATGCCCAAAAAAAATCCCTTAAAAGTAAAATACCCCCAAAAAACGTTTTAACCAAATACCACCCAAAGAAAAATTTTATTTTCCCCGGTTCTCCCAAATTTTTTAAACTGGCACACAAAACTTTAAAAACCCCTTTTTTAATGGCCCAACCAAACCTTTTCCCCACCGGGGGGCTGGTTTCCTACCAGAGTAAAAATTTCCCTAAAGACGGCCAAAACTGAAAAATTTAAAATTTTTTACCTTAACCCTTTCGGCCAAAAGCCTCACCTAAAGGGCTTGGGTTTTCGAGGGCCCCCAAGATTTCAATTCAAATTTTTTTTTCTTTTGAAAACACAGAGAATCTTTTCTCGATCATAATGACACCAAAAGTATGAAATTTGATGGAAAACTTACGGAACTATGCTCTTGCGAAGTTAACGGTCTCAACAATGTGTACACATCAGCGATTTTGCCCACTTTGAGCCCTATTTTCGGCCAATTCCAGTGTACTAGTCGACAAAAATCATAACTATTTCGTCAGAACTCCATTTTTTCTATCGAATGAGTACAAGAAACCACCCATTTACCAATTTCAACTATCCAATAAAGTGGTCAGAATTTAGCAATTTTGCCAATTTCACGCAAATTTCAAAAGATGCCAATTTCCGAATAGGGTCCAGAATAAACAAGAAAGACATTCCTGGCACTAAAATAACAAGTTCTCTGTTCGTCAGTCACATTCCCAGGTCCCTCTTATATTTCTTTGGCTTTCCACTTTGAATTTTTATTCTTACAAAAAATAGAAGATTCACTGTTATGCAGACTACTGCATTAGTGTAGAAATGTTATAAATAATATCGGCGCACTTGTGAAAGAATATTAGACTCGCCAGTTCACGTGTATTGGACGCTTAGCATGATTTGTTTACTTTTGAACTTAGGTAAAAATCAAACATTTCTGCTACTTTGAGCTCAATTTCAAGGCACCTTTCATTGTAAAACCAGTCAAAATCATCTCAATTTCTGTAATATGTCTTCCATTCTATAAAATGAGACCAGGAAAACTAGAATACAACAATAAATACCATACGAAAATACACTGCAAAGTCGTTTTAATCCAAAAACACGGTCAAAGTTTTTTTTATTCTCATTACGCACTGTGTGCTGCAGGATTTTTTTTATACTGCGCACACTGACCACATAGACCCATTCTTTCATATGTAGGCCTACCAGCTTTCTCTCACTAGATTTGAGGGCGCTAGAATTTAAGCGTACTAGTATGTCAAAAACCCTGGGGCTCAAGCCGTACTAGTACGGCCAAAACCCTGAAAGGGTTAAACTTGTTGTACAGAAGTACTCACCTTAAACTGGTCGTACAGCAGTACTCACCTAAGACTGGTTGTACAGCAGTACTCACCTAAGACTGGTCGTACAGCAGTATTCACCTAAGACTGGTCGTACAGCAGTATTCACCTTAAACTGGTCGTAAAGCAGTACTCACCTAAGAATGGTCATCTAGCAATGCTCACCTTAAACTGGTCGTACAGCAGTACTCACCTAAGACTGGTCGTACAGCAGTACTCACCTTAAACTGGTCGTAAAGCAGTACTCACCTAAGAATGGTCGTCCAGCAATGCTCACCTTAGACTGGTCATCTAGCAGTGCTCCAGCAATGATACGGTCTAGGAAGTGCTTGTGAGCATCAATGACCTGGTCAAGACTGTGAGCGGTCTTTAGTGTGGTCATAAGACCGTGCCAGGAACACTCCAGAACCTCAAAGGTCATGTAGTACTCCATCTGGTGTACAAGATGTACCATCTCTGTGGTCAGTAACTGTACACCGTGTAACACCACTCCAAGCTCTGTACAATAACAAAAATCATTAGTACACTTAAGAGTCACTAGATTGTCTGAATATAACTGTAACTAGACTGTGTGAATATAACTGTAACAGTCATTAGACTGTGAGTATAACTCACTAGATTGTGTGAATGTAACTAATGGTCACTAGACTGTGTGAATATAACTGTAACAGTCACTAAACTGTGTGACTGTAACTGTCACTATACTGTGTCTGTAGCTGTCACCAACCTGTCTAAATGTAACATAACAGTCAGTAGATTAGACAGAAGTTGCTAGTTTAATGTGCACCACATATCCATCCTGAGGCAGTAGGTTGATAGACAGCAACGCCCAGGGAGGTACTACCGTCCTGCCAAGTGAGTGTAAAACAAAAGCCTGTAATTGTTTTACATGATGGTAGGATTGCTGGTGTCTTTTGTCTGTCTCATAAATATGCAAGATTACAGGTATGTCTTGCTACTTCTACTTACACTTAGGTCACACTACACATACATGTACACGTTTATTTATACACACTTATCTGAGTTTTCTTTGATTTTATCTTAATAGTTCTTGGTCTTATTACTTTTCCTTTTATATCCATCGGGAAGTGGAATAAGAATCTTTCCTCCGTAAGTCATGCGTGTTGTAAAAGTCAACTAAAATGCCGGGAACAATGGGCTAGTAACCCCTTTTCCTGTAAAGATTACTAAAAAAACAAGAAAAAGAAAATTGTCAAAGTGGGAAGTCTGAATGTGCGTGGATGTTGTGCAAATGATAAGAAAGAGATGATTGTGGATGTTATGAATGAGAAGAAGCTGGATGTCCTGGCTTAAAGTGAAACAAAGCTGAAGGGGGTGGGAGAGTTTCAATGGAGAGGAATAAATGGGATTACCTGGTCAGGGGTTTCAAATAGAGTTAGAGCTAAAGAAGGAGTAGCAATAATGTTAAAGGATAAGCTATGGCAGGAAAAGAGGGACTATAAATGTATTAATTCAAGGATTATGTGGAGTAAAATAAAGATTGGATGTGAAAAGTGGGTTATAATAAGCGTGTATGCACCTGGAGAAGAGAGAAGTGTAGAGGAGAGAGAGAGATTTTGGGAAATGTTGAGCGAATGTGTGGGGAGTTTTGAATCAAGTGTGAGAGTAATGGTGGTTGGGAATTTCAATGCTAAAGTGGGTAAAAATGTTATAGAGGGAGTAGTAGGTAAATTTGGGGTGCCAGGGGTAAATGTAAATGGGGAGCCTTTAATTGAGCTATGTGTAGAGAGATTTGGTAGTAAGTAATACATATTTTATGAAAAAGAGGATAAATAAATATACAAGGTATGATGTAGCACGTAATGAAAGTAGTTGTTAGATTATGTATTGGTGGATAAAAGGTTGATGGGTAGGCTCCAGGATGTACATGTTTATAGAGGGGCAACTGATATATCAGATCATTATTTAGTTGTAGCTACAGTTAGAGTAAGAGGTAGATGGGAAAAGAGGAAGGTGGCAAATACAAGTAAGAGGGAGGTGAAAGTGTATAAACTAAGGGAGGAGGAAGTTCGGGTGAGATATTAAGCGACTATTGGCAGAAAGGTGGGCTAGTGCAAAGATGAGTAGTGGGGGGTTTGAAGAGGGTTGGAATAGTTTTAAAAATGCAGTATTAGAATGTGGGGCAGAAGTTTGTGGTTATAGGAGGGTGGGGGCAGGAGGAAAGAGGTGTGATTGGTGGAATGATGAAGTAAAGGGTGTGATAAAAGGGAAAAAGGTAGCTTATGAGAGGTTTTTACAAAGCAGAAGTGTTATAAGAAGAGCAGAGTATATGGAGAGTAAAAGAAAGGTAAAGAGAGTGGTGAGAGAGTGCAAAAGGAGAGCAGATGATAGAGTGGGAGAGGCACTGTCAAGAAATTTTAATGAAAATAAGAATTTTTTTGGAGTTAAACAAGTTAAGAAAGCCTAGGGAAAGTATGGATTTGTCAGTTAAAAACAGAGTAGGGGAGTTAGTAGATGGGGAGAGGGAGGTATTAGGTAGATGGCGAGAATATTTTGAGGAACTTTTAAATGTTAAGGAAGAAAGGGAGGCGGTAATTTCATGCACTGGCCAGGGAGATATACCATCTTTTAGGAGTGAAGAAGAGCAGAATGTAAGTGTGGAGGAGGTACGTGAGGCATTATGTAGAATGAAGGGGTAAAGCAGCTGGAACTGATGGGATCATGACAGAAATGTTAAAAGCAGGGGGGGATATAGTGTTGGAGTGGTTGGCGCTTTTGTTTAATAAATGTATGAAAGAGGGGAAGGTACCTAGGGATTGGCAGAGAGCAAGTATAGTCCCTTTATATAAAGGGAAAGGGGACAAAAGAGACTGTAAAAATTATAGAGGAATAAGTTTACTGAGTATACCAGGAAAAGTGTACGGTAGGGTTATAATTGAAAGAATTAGAGGTAAGACAGAATGTAGGATTGCGGATGAACAAGGAGGTTTCAGAGTGGGTAGGGGATGTGTAGATCAAGTGTTTACATTGAAGCATATATGTGAACAGTATTTAGATAAAGGTAGGGAAGTTTTTATTGCATTTATGGATTTAGAAAAGGCATATGATAGAGTGGATAGACGAGCAATGTGGCAGATGTTGCAAGTATATGGAATAGGTGGTAAGTTACTAAATGCTGTAAAGAGCTTTTATGAGGATAGTGAGGCTCAGGTTAGGGTGTGTAGAAGAGAGGGAGAATACTTCCCGGTAAAAGTAGGTCTTAGACAGGGATGTGTAATGTCACCATGGTTGTTTAATATATTTATAGATGGGGTTGTAAAGGAAGTAAATGCTAGGGTGTTCGGGAGAGGGGTGGGATTAAATTTTGGGGAATCAAATTCAAAATGGGAATTGACACAGTTACTTTTTGCTGATGATACTGTGCTTATGGGAGATTCTAAAGAAAAATTGCAAAGGTTAGTGGATGAGTTTGGGAATGTGTGTAAAGGTAGAAAGTTGAAAGTGAACATAGAAAAGAGTAAGGTGATGAGGGTATCAAATGATTTAGATAAAGAAAAATTGGATATCAAATTGGGGAGGAGGAGTATGGAAGAAGTGAATGTTTTCAGATACTTGGGAGTTGACGTGTCGGCGGATGGATTTATGAAGGATGAGGTTAATCATAGAACTGATGAGGGAAAAAAGGTGAGTGGTGCGTTGAGGTATACGTGGAGTCAAAAAACGTTATCTATGGAGGCAAAGAAGGGAATGTATGAAAGTATAGTAGTACGAACACTCTTATATGGGTGTGAAGCTTGGGTGATAAATGCAGCAGCGAGGAGACGGTTGGAGGCAGTGGAGATGTCCTGTTTAAGGGCAATGTGTGGTGTAAATATGCAGAAAATTCGGAGTGTGGAAATTAGGAGAAGGTGTGGAGTTAATAAAAGTATTAGTCAGAGGGCAGAAGAGGGGTTGTTGAGGTGGTTTGGTCATTTAGAGAGAATGGATCAAAGTAGAATGACATGGAAAGCATATAAATCTATAGGGGAAGGAAGGCGGGGTAGGGGTCATCCTCGAAAGGGTTGGAGAGAGGGGGTAAAGGAGGTTTTGTGGGCAAGGGGCTTGGACTTCCAGCAAGCGTGCGTGAGCGTGTTAGATAGGAGTGAATGGAGACGAATGGTACTTGGGACCTGACGATCTGTTGGAGTGTGAGCAGGGTAATATTTAGTGAAGGGATTCAGGGAAACCGGTTATTTTCTTATAGTCGGACTTGAGTCCTGGAAATGGGAAGTACAATGCCTGCACTTTAAAGGAGGGGTTTGGGATATTGGCAGTTTGGAGGGATATGTTGTGTATCTTTATACGTATATGCTTCTGAACTGTTGTGTTCTGAGCACCTCTGCAAAAACAGTGATAACGTGTGAGTGGTGAAAGTGTTGAATGATGATGAAAGTATTTTCTTTTTGGGGATTTTCTTTCTTTTTTGGGTCACCCTGCCTCGGTGGGTCACCCTCCCTCAGGGGGTCCCCCTGCCTCGGGGGAGAGGGCCCGACGTTGAAAAAAAAAAAAAAAATCCTCCTGTGGAGGGAAAGCCAGACCCTAAAGATCACATACCCTAGGAAACTAGGCCCCGAAGGGTTTACAGGAGTACATTAAAACTCCTCTTACAGTTCACTAATCTGTTAAAGAAAATTTGGAAAATTTGTTTAATATTCGGTATTTTTTTTTTCATTAATATCTTCATATACACAAGGTTGTTACACTATCTTTATATTCCCAACAAGGGGAAAAAAATTTAAGCACAAGTGTTAGAAAAATAATGATTTGGGTGGTTGGACCTGACTGCTTGTGTGTGGGTCTGGTGCGTGTCCACCCTTCATTTGGGGATGCCCGGACTGGGTGCGTCACTGGGTAATCCGGGGGGGACTGGCCCGCCCCGCAGGGTCGTAGGCTGTTGCAGTTTTCCCTTCTTTCTTATGTTCTTAGTGTTCAAGAGTGCCCCATGGGCCCTGGCTATTACTTTGTAAGGTACCATTGATTTAAAACCCCAAGCTTTGGTTTGCCCAACTGGACGTAAGTCGAACCTTACTATGAACATCAATATTACACTTTTGTAATGAAATTTTTTTTTTTCTTTTTATTTTGATATTTCATTTTTTACTTTACTTTTTTTGCTGTTTGTATGTATTTTATACTGTAAAGGGTTTGGTAAATAGGTACAACAAAAACAGTTGTTTATATCAGAAATTTGGGATAAAACACGGTCGTAAGTCGAGTGGTTGTATGTTGAGAGGTTGTAATCGGATGGGAGGTGTATTTTTTTTGATCATCATCTGTGTGTCTGTCGACTATCTTTTTAAACCCGCCAAGCCCGGCGTTACAAATAAGGGTGTCAGAAGTCTTGTAACCAAGCCTAAGCTGGTTACTACAAAATCCCACTGCCCGAAAATATTTTAACCCAAGCCTAAGCCAGGCTATACAACATCACACTGCCAGAAGTACTTTAACTAAGCCTAAGCCAGGCTACTAAAAATCACCCTGCCAGAAGTATTGTAACA